GGCATCTGATTACACGGCCTGGCCAGTCGGGGTAGGCAGAGGAGTTCCATGGGGTCTCTGGAAGTCTCTGGAGGTAACTGTAGGCCTCCAGAGATCACTCGAAGACGAAGCAAACGTCTAGACACGTCCACTCGAGGAAGGGGGGGAGAGGAGAGGAGGGAAAGGCGAACGACTTTCTGTGCGTGGGCCAGGGTCAATGGGCCAACTCCGTGAACGCCCGAGCGAACGAGGGCCCGAGGGGCCGAACCGAAACGAAGGGCGGACCAAGGGACCCACAGCGGAAAGACCGAAAAGGGCCCGACCGCGCAACCAGGACCGAAAGACCAGGCGACGGGCCCCAAAAGCTGCGCGTGCTGGGAATCGTTCAACTTCGACGGAACGACCGATGGTAGGAGAAGTAGAGGCCTCCCAGAAAGGGTCCGGGTAGATGGGGTCGGAGGATCGCTCCGTATCGCCAATGCTTCGCCGCTGCATCGCCGATGCATAAGCGATGCACTGGCGATGCACCATCGACGCCAACGATACATCTGCGAAGTCGGCGTGGAGAAAACCGGGCTCCGCATCGAGCCGCACCGCCGATGCATCGGTGATGCAGCACGATCCTCCGACCCCATCTGCTCCGACACCCCATCTAGGAGGTTTAGAGCTAGGTCGGGCATGTCCCCCTACAGGCGGATTTTGGACGACAGTTAAACAGTAGTCAAACATCACCCTAAAAATGCTCAAACATACACAACAAATCGTCCCCTGACTATTTTTTGACAATGTTTGAATATTCCTCTTGTAGAGGGACGCGCCAGACTTAAGCCTCGAGAGAGGGAGGTGGCACGAGCGCAACACCCTGGCTGCCATCCTCGACGCTTCTCCTGCCAGAGGGGGGGGGGCCTGGCGCAGGGCGCAGAAGCCCCTCGGGGCCGAGGCGCGCGGAGGGGATCAAGATCGCGTGTGGATGAGGGTCAGGGACATGTAAGACTCGGAATACAGTCGGGTCGTTCACCCAAGGAACCCTAGATAAGGAACGAGGCCCCTGCTTTCCATAAATTGGACTTCGACTTCCTATCGAAAACATACGGAAATCCTGAGGCAAGCTGTGAAATACTTAAGGAACGCGGAGCCCCTCCCCAACCAAAAGGGCTCCTTCTTCAGGGCCCCGACTGTAGGCAGACTCGGGTTGGCCGACTGGGCCATGATGAAGATGACGCGACCCAGGCTGAAATTTGACGCGAGCTCCCGCTGCAAACATCCTACGACAAATGGACCGTCCAAATCCCAAACGCGCTTGTCGAAAAGCGTCGGCAAACCCGAGTTCCGGCGCACTCGAGTCTTACGTTTCCCCGATCGGGAGCCTACCAAGGACGTACGCGCCCAAACGCGGCCCCCCATCCACCAGAGCATGCGCGCAATACGAACGCTCGCGCAAAACGTACGCTCGGAACCAGCGAAGATTTATGTACGCTCCTTCTCGCGCTCCTGATGTACGGGGGGCCGAGGGATGGGTGGAGGGAACGACGAACCACGGTAGGGAGAGGGAGGGGGTACCCATCGGTCGGAAGAAGTAGGTAGCAACATGAAACATGAAGTAGGAAGGCGTTGAGAGTAGGTTGGGTGTCCGCCCGCCCCCGAAAGGGTAGGGAAGAGGGGAAGCCACTGGATCGCTGAAGCAGGCAGGCGCCTGAAATGGACTGGAATCGGGATTTCCAGACGATACCTGCTTGTAACGACCGATGGGCACGCGTGCAGCACCGTGCCCGCACTCTCCAACACGCCTCCCTGCCGGGGGAGAGGGGCCCTGGACCCAGACCCCCGACGTCATGATTTTTTCATGACGTCGACCCCCCGAGGTCTCGACCCATTCCCCGGGACCGGTTTTTCGTCCTGAGTCGTTTTTTGACGGTCCCGAGGGCGGGTAAGGGCCCCCAAAGGCCAAAAATAATGAAAAACCCTCCGTCGTGATTTTTTCATAACTCGAGGGGCCCTGGAGCAGGGGGCGCAGCGGCCTCCCGGGGCGAAGGGAAGGGGGGCGGGGGGCCGGGATCGCGTGCGGATGGCAGGGCCGAGGGGATGCTCGCGTGATGACCGACCACTGTTTACTGGTGGCGCGCACAAGGGGGCAGGAGGAGGGGGGGAGGCGTTCTTGGGAGGGGGCGGCTTCGTAGAAGGCGCCGACCCTACATCTACAGAGGAGGCCCGCGCCTTCTAAGAAGCAGGGGTGCTTCTAAGAAGCCTTCACCCCTCCCCCTGCCCCCTTCTGCGCGTGGCCGAATCTTACCAAAAAACATAGCTGCCCATGTTCGCCATGAGTTGGCAATTCGTTGTCGCTAGAGTGAATTGTAAACAGCGTGTCTACATTGCACAGCGGGGGGGGGCTGGGCAAGGGCATGCCGCGCCTTGACAAACACCTCACCCCGATGTGTGGCCGCCGCGATCGCCGCGGCGACCTCCGAAACCGACCGGGAGGTTTTGGTTCGGTGCCAGGTATCACACAACGAGGAGGGTGGAGGGGAAGAAGAACGTGTGAGGGGCAACAAAAGGGGAGGCTGGCTCAGGGGGGGAGGCATCGACCTGGAATCGGCGATACATCGCGGGTAAATCGGCGATGGGCCTCCGATAGCGAGACCGCGCGCTCCTGGGCGGGGCGGCCTATCGTCCAGGTCACCTATATGCGCGCATCGCGCCACGCCGTTATCTGCGCGCGCTCGCGCTCGCGCCGCCCTGGTCTGCGCGAAGCGCGGGGGACTGGCGTGCCTGAGAAGCCGTGCGGCCACGTGCATACTCGCGGCGATGCAGTCATCGTGCTACCATAGGGAAGGCTGAAAAAGGAACGAAGGCGCGTTTCTGGCCACGGCGAGCCTCGGCCACGAATCGATTCCCTGGTCCAGGTCTGGGGGACAGCACAAGAAACCAGAGCCCCTCCTGAGCCCAAAGTAGTCCTTCTTGGCGTTTCTGATTTTTGGGTTCGACATTTGGCCGCAGGGTGGCGGAGGGGGGGGGTCTGGGTCTGGGCAGGTGCTTCGTCGATCTTCGGCGGCGAGCGAGGGGCGGAAGCGATGAGGAGAAGGCCTTCTCAGAGGGCGGCGGGCTTCTCAGAAGCCCTCGCACCTTCTGAGAGGTCCACAGCGCCTTCGGGGAAGGCTTGGGAGACGTCTCAGCAGGTCGGGGGGGGTCCGAGCCTTCTGAAGAGGCCCGCCCCGTCTCACAGTCCTCCCAGGGCCCGCCGCCGAGGTGTCTGCCTCTGCCAGTCGCGCGCACAGACAAGGGGGGAGGGGCCCCGACCAATCGCGAAGAGCGGCCGCGAAGAGCAGCCAAGACCGTTGAGAGGGGGGGAGGGGGCGGAGGCCCGCGTCGATCGGCGAACATGTATATATATATATATACACAAAGTAGAAGCTCGACCACAGGAAACCTTCTATTAGAGGCCAACCCTGAGGCCCCAGGGCGTCCACTGATCTTTGGTGCGGGAAAGTCGCGCTCTCGATCGCAAGACCATCGGAACCCAAGAAACCCTGGGCACCCTGGAGGCGAGCAGGGTGTTTCTTGGCATGGGTTTCCACTGTAAAAGAGGTCTACCTTACTCCAGCGTCTGAGCTGCAATATGAAGGGTGCAATAATAAGATACAACAAACAACCAGGAAGGACAAGGTAGACGCATCCACAGACATACAGGCCGCTCGCCTCGCCTCGGACACGAAGGCAGTGGATCGTGGCTGCATGGATGGTCATCACGATGATTCATCGAACAACCTACTGCACGAGAAAGAGGCGTTTGCCTTCCAACACAAAAGCAAACTGGTTCACCGCCAGATCATCCGCAGGAGCACTTCGATGCGACGCAGGCGGCGTGATGCCCTATCGGTGGATATGAACGGGGTAACACGCATTGGTTGGTAGCGGCCAGAAGGTCTGCGCTCGATGGGCCCCGGGAAAAAAAGTCAAGAGGGGGGGCGAGGGACAAAAGCGAATTTGTTCAGAATCCCCCATCGAAACCCCACCCGGGTCGAAACTGACCAGTTTCTCGAGCCGCGTCCAGCCGTGGCGACGAGGGGGGTCGGTCCCTTCCTCCTTCTGCTGCTGCTCCTCCTCCTCCTTTTCCTCCTCCTCCTCCTGATCCTCCTCCTCCTCCTAATCCTCCTCCTCCTCCTCATCCTCCTCCTCCCCCTCCTCCTCCTCCTCCTCCTCCTCCTCCCCCTCCTCCTCCTCCTCCTCCTCCTCCTCCTCCTCCTTCTTCCCCGGTGCTGCTGGCCGGAACCGAGCCTGGGCCGTCCCTGAGATTTGCCGCTGCGGAAAAATTACAGCATCGCGAACTAATCGCGACAGGGGCCGTAGATCGGGTCGGGCGAACGGGGGGGATAGCAAAGGGGGGGTTTGAGAATCAGCTCACGTAGCTGATTTTCCCGGCGCCTCCCGGCGCCGGAGGCGACTATGTATCGAGGAATGGGCCCCTCGGTGAGGCCGAAACCGGCTGCATGCAGCAAATTTCGTAACCCCCCCTTTCCCAATCCCCCCCTTTCGCCCGGCCCGAGTCTGCCTGCGCCGCTTTTCGAGCCAGGTCGATCTGTGAGGGTCCCGGGGCCCGAAAGCAGGCGAAAACGCCCGTCGCGAAAGATGTGCAGCGCCCAGGTCCGAGGGCTCTCTGCTGGCCAGAACCTCTGCTTGGCCACCTCGGCCCCCAGCGGGATCCAGCACGTTGGGCTAAAACGACGACGACGACGACGACGACGACGACGACGACGACGACGACGACGACGACGACGACAACCTGAGGATCACCGACCCAAACGACGACGACGGCGACGACGACGACGCGGACGACGAGGACGACGAGGGCGACGAGGACGACGCGGACGACGAGGACGACGCGGACGACGAGGACGACGAGGGCGACGGGGACGACCAGGACGACGAGGACGAAAAAGAGGACGAGGACGAGGACCAGGACGAGCACGACGACAACGACGACGACGACCACATGCGGCCGAAGGCCCTACTGCGCGCGCGCTCGCCTCGGCCTCCCGGCGCGCCGCCTCTGCCCAGTCGCCGCCGTCCTGCCCGCCGCGGCCCCCCCCTCCCCGTCCGCCGCGGGAGAATCATTCCCCCCCTTCCTCCTCCTCCTCCTCCTCCTCCACCTCCTCCTCCTCCTTTTCTTCTTATTTGTATTATTATCATTATTCTTATTATTATTAGTCTCCTTCTTCTTCTTATAATTATTATTATTACTATTATTATTATTACTATTATTATTATTGTTAGTGTTCCTTTTATTCGTATTCTTCTTATGATACTCATTATTGTTGTTATTATTCGTCCTATTATTATTATATTTATTATTAGTACTATCATTATTATTATTAGTATTATTATTATAAATGTTATTACTTATAATATGGTAATTATTATGAATGTTAGTATTACTATTGTTATTATTAATAATACTATTATGCTTCTTATTAGTAGTAGTATTATTAGTATTATTAGTAAAATATGATTAGTATGATAATGAGTATAGTGATGATTATGATTATGATCATGATTATGATTATTTTCGTTATCCTTATTATTATTAGTAAAATTCCTCTCCCTCTCCCTCTCCCTCTTCCTCTTCCTCATACTCTCTTCCTCCTCCTCTTCCTCTTCCTCATCCTCATCCTCTTTCTCTTCCTCTTCCTCTTCCTCTTCCTCCTCCTCCTCCTCCTCCTCCTTTTCCTGCTCCTCCTCCTCCTCCTCCGGCTCCGGCTCCGGCTCCGGCTCCGGCTCCGGCTCCGGCTCCGGCTCCGGCTCCGGCTCCGGCTCCGGCTCCGGCTCCGGCTCCGGCTCCGGCTCCTCCTCTCCTCCTCCACCTCCTGCTCCTCCTCTTCCTCCTCCTCCTCCTGCTCCCTCCTGCTCCTCCTCCTCCTCCTCCACTTATTATTATTAGTTTTCTTCTTCTTCTTCTGCTTCTTCTTCATATTCTTTTTTCTGATTATTATTATCATTATTATTATTATTAGTATTATTATTATTATTATTATTACTATTATTATTATTATTATTATTATTAGTATTATTATTATTATTATTAGTATTATATTTATTTTATCATTATTATTAGTATTGTTATTAGTATTGATATTATTCTGATTATTATCATTATTGTTCTTCTTATTTTTTTATTATTGTTATTAATGGTATTGTTCTTCTCATTCGTGTTATTATTCGTGTTGTTTGTTATTAAGATTTCCCTCCCGTTTCCTCTTCCTCTTCCTCTTCCTCGTACTCTCTTCCTCCTCCTCTTCCTTTTCCTCTTCCTCTTCCTCTTCCTCTTCCTCTTCCTCTTTCTCTTCTTCTTCCTCCTCCTCCTCCTCCTCCTCCTCCTCCTCCTCCTCCTCCAGCTCCGGCTCCGGCTCCAGCTCCGGCTCCGGCTCCAGCTCCGGCTCCGGCTCTGGCCCCGGCTCCGGCTCCGGCCTTGTGCTCCGGCTCCGGCTCCGGCTCCAGCTCCGGTTCCGGCTCTGGCTCCGGTTCCGGCTCCGGCTCCGGCTCCGGCTCCGGCTCCGGCTCCGGCTCCGGCTCCGGCTCCGGCTCCGGCTCCGGCTCCGGCTCCAGCTCCGGCTTCCCCGCTCCTCCCCCCCTTCCTCCCCTCCTCCTCCTCCTCCTCCTCCTCTCCTCCTCCTCCTCCTCCTCCTCCTCCTCCTCCTCTCCTCTCGTCCTCGTCCTCGTCCTCGTCGTCTCGTCCTCGTCCTCCTCTCCTCCCTCCTCCTCTCCTCCTCCTCCTCCTACCTCCTCTCCTCCTCCTCCTCCTCCTCCCCCTCCCCCCCCTCCTCCTCCTCCTCCACCTCCTCCTCCTCCTCCTCCTCCTCCTCCTCCCTCCCTCCTCCACCTCCTCCTCTCCTCCCCCTCCTCCTCCTCCTCTCCTCCTCCTCCTCCTCCTCCTCCTCCTCCTCCTCCTCCTCCTCCCCTCCCTCCTCCTCCTCCTCCTCCTCCTCCTCCTCCTCTCCTCCCCCTCCCTCTTTCTCCTCCTCCCCCTCCTCCTCCTCCTCCTCCTCCTCCTCCTCCTCCACGTCCACTGGCGGGGCACCCGCCACGCGAAGAAGGTCCCCTTCTGGTCGTCGCCCGACAGCAGGAGCAGTTTCCTCTCGGGGATGGGAGCGCGAACCATGTCGTCGACGAGGCGAGCATGGCCGCTTCCCCCACGTGAGGCTCCAGGACGGCATTACCTGGCACCATGTTCAGGATGAGCCTCGTGATCCGACGTGCCCCAGGGCCAGGCCGCCCTTTTCTCTCCACGGCGAAGAGCCCTATCAGCAGCGGCTGGCCGCGAACGTAGAACAGGTACTCGGGCACGAGCACCGTGAAGACCCCGAGGTCCACCAGGTGCAGCGCCAAGGTCCCCCACCCGAACTGGGACCCGACGTTGGCCCGAGCCCGCGGCATGGGGTCGGACCAATTTTTTCCGCCTTCAGAACCCGACTCGGGTCAGTGAGTCATCGTGCCACGTCGTCCTGCACAAAATTAATCGCGCTCAAGGTCCCCCCGTGCTCCCGCTTCGGCAATCCAGGGGCCGGCTCCGCGAGGACGCACGACATGGCTCGCATCGTCGGCTTTTGCTGCTGCGATTGAGCGTCAAGCACGCGACCGCGTCGGCCAGCGAAGCAACGGGCACGATCGCGAACGGCTCCTGAACGAACTCCGCCGCCCGCGAACGGACGCGCGGCCTTGCCGTTCTCAGGGCCAGCGTCAGGTTCGGCCCGAGGCGCACCGACTCCCTCGCGGCCCCGCAGTGCATGACATTGGAACTTACGGCGCTAGGGTGTGTCCAGGCCTCGGCCGCGACAGCTCCCGCCACCGGCGCGAGTCGGCGCCTCGCGCCCTTGGGGGCCGTCTGGGCCCACGGGGTGACCTCCCAGATGGGGGCGGGGGAGGCAGCGGCAACAGGTCACGCGCGCGCGCCCGCGGGCGCCGCCCCTCTCGAAGGTGAGCGCCTGGCTAGTGACGTTGCCCGCGTTCACTGCATGCCCCCGCGCGAACTCCACGAGCGCCGCGGCCAAGTCCACGCTGCACATCTGGCTGCCAATCCTCGCGGGCGCCAGCTCCCGCCAGTCCGTCATGCGCGCGAACTCAGCACCCGACGGCGGCGGCCCGCCGTCTGCCTCCACGCGCCGATGCTGCCCCTCGCTGGCGGCGCTCGGGGCTGCTACCCCGCGGCCGCTTCCGCCGTAACCGGGGGCGGTCGAGCCCTCGCCCGACAACGGCGCCTCGGGAGGGGCCAGGCTCGGCGCTTGGCGGCCCAGGGCGGTTTCTTCCCCACCGCCTTGGCCCGCTGGATGCGCTTCGCGTAATCCTCGGCCCCCTCCTGGTCCGTCCTGGGGTGAGCCGCTCGCAGGTCGGCCCAGCTGGCGCTCCTCAGCTGTACCGCCCGCGCCGTCGCTGGATCGCGTGCCTCGGCCAGCTCGTCGCCAAGCGCCGCCTGAGCGGCGCCTCGGCATGCACGGGCGCGCAGCTAGATCGTCCAGCTTAAGCTCGCCCGCCTGGATGCTCCTGATGAGCTCCTCCTCCTCGCTCTTCGACGACGTCAGCTCGTCGGGCGGCGAAATCTGCTCGTGCGACTTCGCCGCCGACCAGTTGCCGTCGTGGATCGGCACCTGCAGCGCCTTGGACCTCTGGGCCAGGAGGTCCGCCACCGCCGCCGTGCGGCCCTGCGCCGAGAGGTCGAGGACCTCGGCGAGCGCGCGGAGCTCGCGGTAAATTGGCAGCCCGATCTCCTTCACCGAGTACTGCGGCATGTAGACCGTGAGCAGCCACCGCAGGCCAATCGCGCCCAGGGGATCGACGGCAGCTCGCCTCGGCCAGGCGCCCAGGCTGCTCGGCCGCCACCCTGCGGCAATGGGCGCGCTGGGACGTCAGCCTGGGCGGGATCAGCGATCCGCCCGTGCTGGTGACGCCCTCGGGCCTAAGGCTAGGCCCTCGTCGCCGCCTGGGCGCCGGCCCAGCAACCGCGCCAGCGCGCTCGCCAGCTCCTGCGCGCCGCGGGACCCCAGGCAGGCCAGCCGCCTCGGCGGGCTCCGCGTCCCGCGGGTGGCTGCGCCAGCGCCGAGCGCCAATTCGGACCCCTTGGAGTCGCTGTGGGCCGCCTTCGCCACGCGCTCGCTCAGCACCTCTGCCAGGGAGCTCTTGGCCTTGGCCGCCACCGTGGCCTTAGTAGCGGAGCGGAGCGGCGCCTCGGCTGGGGCATCGCCGTCCCCGCGGTCGCGCAGCGCAACGAACCGATCCTTCGCCGCCAGCAGCCTCGAGCGCAGGGCGGGCCGCCCAGCGGGCTCGACGGCAAGCCCGTCTTCGTCGAAAAGGTTCTCGACGGCCCGCCTCCACCTCGCGCGGCTCCTCGACAGGACGCGCCTCGCCAGGCGGGGGGCCCAGCACGTCCTGCGGCCACACCGCTCCACTGTTGGCGCGGCGGTGGTCGGCAAAAAACGCCGCCGCCGTCTCGACCGAGTACCTCCACTTCGGTCGCGCGTACAAGCTCGGTGCAATGCGCCGGCAACGCGGCCCTGCAAACATCCGGCTCGCAGATGCAGATGTGCAACAGAGGCCGTTCCGAGATGGTTCCACGCGACCACGAACTGATACCACCGGTCCCAATAGCCGTCGATTGACTACAAGAAACGGGCGCGGGCGAAGCGGCCGCAGCGCGAACGCCTTTCGCACCGCCACACGAAATCGCACTGCACCTCGCCCGCGGCGTCGTAGCCGATCGAAACATAGATCTAGCAGTCCACGAGGGGCCCCGTTTCCTCGGCAGCGTCGCCCTCGCCCGGCTCGCCCGCAGCAGGGGCCATGGAAATCGCCAGGCACTCGAAGACGGATCCCTCGGCCATGGAACCTCCGCGGCTGGGGCCCCGCGTCGGTTCCGCGAGACGCGGCGGCGCCTGGCGCCATCTCCCGGGGAACGGCGGCACCGACGCCGCTGCCAGGCCTTTTCCAGAGGCCGCGCCCGTCTGCCACGCGCGCCGCCGCACCGGGGGGGGGGTCGTCGCCCTGGGCGGGCCCCCCCCCGCGGCGCGATTTCCGCGGCCGC